TCCCTGTCAGTCAGGGGCATTCATTTGCCTCATGCAGGGGTGGGACTGACATTAGCAAGGCAAAAAGCAGTTTACTTTGATACCCTAATGGAGATGTTGAATCCCATGAAAACTCACATTCCTACAACCCTGGCCCTGTTCACACCTGAAAAAGCTCCCCAAGTTCTTAAGGCTCTACTTAGTGTTCATGATAAAGGCATTTAGACTTGAATATCCTCAAGTATTTTTGCTACTTTTTGTTTAATAATAGATGATGGAGACTTCGGACATAAGACCTGTTCTATTGTGAAGGGTAAAGAAAGTCATCCCGCTTCTTACTTGATGAAGTTTTGAATGGGGATTCAGATGAAAGGTGATTTATACCAGTGGGCACAGTATTTGGACCTTGAACATGTTTCATTGGAAGTAAAAACCTGAAACAAAGGGATCTCACTGTGATTTATGGAGTTATATATCACAGAGGAAAATTTGTAATACAGAATGGTTGGTCTCAAACCTTTTTCAAGGGCCTGTGTGGATATAAGGTTCAGGTAGCCCTATTAGCCTGGTGGGGACTTTAGGATTCAGTTGATATAGGGATCGTCTATTCTAGTGTTCCCACTTCAAGGGAAAAGGGATACTGCCGAGACTCCAATGGAGCAATTGCTTCATCATAGATGTAATTTACATTTCTGTAAATTAAAGAATTGCTTCTATATGAGATAAATGGATGACAGATCTCCTAGGACCAGTGAAGCTTAGAGTGGGTAAGCACTGAGTGACTTTAATTCCCACATTGAGTCAAGTAAGTTTAGCAGCCACAGAATTTAGCCTTAGACATTTGTATGGAGCCAAGCGACCAGATAAACAGGAAGCCTTGTTGCAAGTATCAGAGATTACAGAGAAGAGTCTGAGACCACCAGTATCCTGCCACCTCCAAATCATAGAAACCCACATCCTTAAACTCTGTGCCACCTTGAAGTAAGGCAACATACAGAAAAAATCTTAAGAAATGCTCTTTGACTAGAAGTAACTAAATGTTTAGGAAAACATTGCTGACATACGATGAAGAGTAGCATTCACAACCATATCATCCATGTTCACTCTGTAAATGACTATTAAGCATATTTATATGGCATGCCTAGGAAGGACAAGCTAATCCTGGTCTTCTTAGAGCTAGTAAGGTCAGTTCCAAATTGACACTCTAAGAAGATAAATGACTCAGTTAGAACAAATACAGACACTACAATTTATTTTTCCCACTGGAGTGGTGTACATTTTTGATCCCATGGAGTGTTCTGGTGTACATTTGACTTAGTTATGGTTAAGAGATGCTGAAAGTGACCGTAGAATTTACTTGTGGTTGGGCATCACATTTAAGTTACTTGATGGTTTATCCCAGAGGTTGTGAGAGAATCATGGAGTATCATAGCAGGAAAGGCTCAGAGGAGGGGTAGCCCAACACCTTAGTTTGACTCAAGAAGAAACATCACAGAATATTGCAAAGACAACTACTGCTAGGTCTAGGGTTTGAATACATGATCCTTGACATTAGGCCAAGATTCGTTCTAAAATAAAATGGATCTCCCATTCAGATCTTGGTAAAAAAAATATTTATTGGTCAGTACCAATGATTATCACAGGAATCCACAGAAGCACTTCCTGGGCAACCTCGTAAAAAGTATTGGGAATGTAAGGGGCAATGTCTTAATATTTAAGAAGAGTTAAGGGCTAGGAGAAGAAAGAGTGAACTCAGGAGAGATAAGATGATTCTTCTCCTTTTCTAGAGCTCTCTAGAAAAGGTAAAATGTAGACTAGAAAGAACTCTGACAGGAGGCAGATTATTTACCCACTACATAGTAGGAGGAAAAACTACAACAACAAAAATAAACATGTGTGGTTCAAGAAAGAGACACCTTTGAACATTGCATGTCTGGGACTTCAGCATCACAAACAGAGAGCAAACTGTTTACCTGGTTTCCATAGGGATTAAGAAAAAAAAACACCATATGATGCTCTCAGGGTGCTTCTGGCTGGAAATATCACAAAGGTGGATCCACATGTTTCACTAAACACAATAGAATAGTTAAGACGGATGTTTCAGCCAAGGGTTTTAACACATGCTTCCTGATCACCAACTATGACTACCTCTAACAGTACTGAGTCAAGTTGGGTGCATGCATGAGTTTGCATCTGTATGCACATACATAAGAAATGTGTGAGTATATGCATAAGCATATATAAAGATATGTGGTATGTACATATGTCTGTATACACATATATGTGTGAATGTATAGTTTAAAATGCTAAGCAAAACGAGCTGCATATAATTTACCACATTAGGAAAAACAAATACTATTTCTGACCTTGGCCCTATTAAAACCTTAACAAAGTATGTTCAGTCTATTTTAACAGAGATTTGGCCTGGTTATTTGTACCACAGCTTTTACTACTTTGTCTAGATGGTTGTGTTAATAAAAGTGATATATTTTGCTAATTTAATCAACAATGAGTGTTTTTCATCTTATTGGCTGCTACATTAAAATTGAATGACAGAAAAGGCAACTTATCTTTCCCAAATCAAATTTAAATACTCTCTGAAAAGCATAAATGAAATCATATGCTTTGGGACCCATTGAGATGATTCAGCCTGCAGAGATGCATGCTGCCTAGTTTGATGATCTGAGTTCAATCTTTAAGACATATATGGGAGGAGCAGAGAATCACTTAATGCAATTTATTCTCTGACTTCCATCTGTGTTCTTGGCCATGAATGTGTACACACACACACACACACACACACACACACACGAACTGTAGAAATAAAAAATAGCATTTTTCTTTGTTTTAAGGGAATGTTTAGTTTACAGACATATTCTCATTTCTTTCTTTGAGATGAATATTGGGCTCAACCGATGTGCTTAACATGAATGTGACTCTATCCTGACTCCCTCAATCATTTATAGTTTTTTAAGAAGGAATGTAAATTGAATACAATTGAAGTTACACTGGCTTTTCTGTGACCAGTGTGAACAACCTTTAAGTTCTCTAGCTGATAACAGAGTCTTGAGTTTGAGGTAAATAATAATGTGGATTTAGACTGAACTCATTTAATGTTAACTGTTGCTATGTTGAGTTGTTTTCATTATGGTCATGAAAAAAAAGCTCATATTATTAAAAGGTTTGTTTCCTATTTGTATGTGTGTGGGTGGCATGCATGCATACATGGGTACTTCTATGTATGTGCCCAGTGTTTGAGTGCCTGTAGAGGCCGCACTAGGTTCCCAGAACCTGGAGCTACAGGTGGCTGAGGGTGCTGGTAAACAAATGGAAGTCCCCTGGAAGAGCAGTAAGTTCTCTTTACCACCCGAGCCATCACACACAATTCATTTCTATTGGAAAGGCAGATGGACTTCATAGATATAATAGTATAAACTATTATTGCATAGACAGAATACCACTACAAATGCAAACGTCCCTCCATGAAAACGTCAAAAATGTGTTATTATTTATGGACTTTCCTAGGTGACAAAGAAAGCCAAGACATATGATTGTAATAGACTGTGTATTGAAGAGGTCTGCCTGTGGGTTTGAGTTTGAATGGCCTCCATACTTAACTTATTGCCATGTAAGGAGTCATGTGAGTTCACAATGGTGTGCTTTTGCTAAGGGTGGACACAGTGATTTTGATGTTTCTCTATGAATAGATGCACATGAATATATTCTACATATAAAATTATATTTTTATGTGGAGTTGTATAGACATCATAACTCTTACGACAGTTTGTTTGCAGGAAGAAAGTAAGCACAAAATCTCAAAAGAAACTACAGAATTCAGTTAATGTTATAACTTCATTTTGCAGGCAATGATACTGGAGTCCAGACAGGCAAGACGTTTGCCCCAGAGTCACTGAAAGACAGGGGCTGATTGCGTGCATTTATTTTACTTTGGTCCAGTGCTCTCTTAGCCTGATTTTTACTTCCTGGTATGGATTAGAACTTCTTGATAAAATCAGTGGTTCTTATAAGTCTCCTCTCCCTTTGGTGACAGAAAGAAAAAGGTGGTCTTGTTTTTCTGAAGTATTTGTTTGCACACGATTCCAAATAGTTACCTACCTTTGAGACCTTTGATTCGGCTTTGTATGGATCATTCAGCCAAAACCATGTCTACTCCCTACCGTTCCCTTTACGGCATGCACTTTTAAAACAGTTTAATCATGCTCTTAGATAGCTCATTTAATTACATACGAAACTTTCATCCTAGAATTTAATGACTTCGTCCTGGACTACCAGGAGCTTAAATAACAATTCAACAAAGTCTTCAAAAGAACTTACCTTGAAGAACTAGGATTTTTGCTCTCTGTGAACTTGGGCTACTATTTACGGAGTGAACGTCTCGAGTTCTAATGAAGTAACGCTCACAAATTTATTCATAATTTTCTTTTTTACTTGTTTGTGTTCTCTCTTATTGTTATAAAATTAAAAATCCCACATACTATAAAATAATATGCACCCAGATTATTTGGGTTTATTTATTTATGTGTTTATTTATTTGTGTGTACATGTGTTTGTGTCTTGTTCTCTTTTTGGTAGTGTTATTTTCATTTGCAAAGCTGCGTTGGAGGACAGAAGTGTCTGGGTACATTTTCGCTAACACACTTGAGCAATGCTTGTTTTTCTAACTTCTGGGCTCTGGCCAACACACAGGGACTTCTATCAGCTGAAATGGCATCTTCAACTTCTGCCTGAGTGTAGATTATTAGGTTGTGAGTGTCTAAAACGATGTCTCCACACTTCATCCAGTGTGAACTTAAAGCAACATTGTAAAATAATTATAATCTCTTGAAGCAAAGCCAGCTGTGCAACCTCAGCTCCACCATTCTTCAGTAACTCACACACAGTTCTTATTTTAACAGAACCGGCTTTTAGAAGGCACTCACTTGGGACTGCTTAGCCAGCTGTACAACTTTTATTTTGAAGAAAAAAAGTTGAGCCTCAGAACAGGCTGTTTTAAAGACAGGGAGGGACTTAGCCTTGCCGGCTTGACCAGCATATGGAAGGAGAGCTCTCATGGCTGCAATAACTTAGGGGGAGCTCCTACCTGGGTGTCGCTTGGGGTAGGAAGGTTTCTGTTTGTTTTGTTCTGTTTCTAAGGGTCCTGTGTGTTTCCCTTGCCTGCACCAGCGTGACTCTTGGTGGGTTTTGCACACCCTACTCTGTGGGGGAGTGCCCCAACGTGCCTGTCTTATGTGGCCTCTATGGACACACTGCCCAGCTGGCAGAGAACAGGGAAGTTTTCTCCCAGCACCCAAAAAGAGAAAGAGGAAACTACTTTTTCCTTCTGGGATCCTTGCAGCACAATAGCTTCCACATCCCCTCCCTGGATTTCTGGAGTGCTTTCCAGGAAGAAGTTAAACCTTCATCTTTAAATGGATGAGTATGTCACAATCAGGAAGAAACATCTCCAAAGACCCATCTTTCGGTAAGTCCTGTTGCATCCCAGGTGGCTCGGGGGCTGTCAGCCACAGTGGTCTCTCTCCTTCGTCTTCCACCCGAGGAAGGTGGCGCTGAACAGCAGCAGAGCAGCAAAGGGTGCCTGGAGTTTAACTTCGTGCACATTGAAGAAATCCTTTTATTTTCTACTCCCCGAAGCTTGGTACATAAACTCTTATCAATTCTTCAAAATATACTTTAAAAACATTTTAGCTATTCAAGCACATGAGTGACATAGAACTGGAAAAACTTTTGAAACATTGTGCAATCTCCCCCTGTTGCTCAGTGTCGCTGCACACTCTTCTAATTGGAAAATATTGTGCTTGGTTCTCTGAACTGATTACGCTCAAGGGCACGGTTTCTGTGCTATAAATGCTATGTCTTTCCGAAGTAATGTGCTCTGAGATAAATTTGAATTTGATAGCTACTGTACTGGAGGGTACATTTTCTAGATCCTTTGGGGATATTAGGCAAGCAGTTAGACAGGAATAGGTCAAAGAGGAAACTGTAGTATATAGAATGTGTAACCATGAAATATGGACATGGTCTAATAAACTCAGTTAAGGTTTATTTGCTCTCTCTCTCTCTCTCTCTCTCTCTCTCTCTCTCTCTCTCTCTGTATGTGTGCGTGTGTGTACTTTTTCTCCGGGGAAGCACTGATTTCTCAGTTTTTTAGCTTGATTGTTTAGCTATGTGCTACCTGCTTTAGAATTCAACTTTGAGAATGAATGTTTTTTAAGTAGGTATAAAATGAACACACATTTTTCTGCTTCTTGAGACAAAGAACTTAACTGTCAACTTTCTATTATCTCCCCCCCAAAATATTGTAAGGATACAGAAAAATAGTAAATATTAATAATGGTAGATTCTAACTTCAAGTTGTAAACACTAGTTGTTGATCTAGGATTAAATCCAGAATGATACAGATCTATTGAATGGGCCCCATTATTACTTCATCCTGAATATGGGTGGATCTTAAAAGAGTGAAATTATATAAAGCCTGTGCATTTTATGTACTAAGTAATGCTTTTACAGTTTCATTAATACCTTGGTAATACATGATACAGTTACAATGTAAATCTGTTTTAAAACAATTTGAAGGTAAATTATACTTAAATCCAATATGGACTTAGGTATAATTTATGTCTACTTAAATGTGTAGCTGTAAATGCTACAAAGCAACTGCTATAATTCTAACTTCATAAATCCAAAATTATACTCAAAATGCATAGTCACCTCAGAGGTCTTCCAACCCTATATAATTAAACAATTTATACAATAATAAATTAGTATAATAATAATAATATATTATATTATATAATTATATATATAATAATAATATATAGTAATAATATATTGCTCTATTTTCTCTCAAGTTCATAGAGGTTACAGGAACTGCTCAAGCTGGAATCTTCTTTTTGTTCAGAAGGCGAGGTGTGTTGGACAGAGGCAGACCCACTTGGTCATCTTTTCTGTGTGTTAATCCCATGTGGGAGTTTGGGGGATGGAGGCAGACAGTCTTGGGCCAAGTCCTCTATACTACTCGTAAGCTATACATTTGGGTGCTATTTGCTGGTGGACATCACCCTATCTATAGTTACAATATTTAAATATAAAGAACTGGCTCTTTGCGAAAGGTAAGATTTCTCTCTCTCTCTGTGTGTGTGTGTGTGTGTTAATAGAATAGAACATGGTGAATATGTTCCTGGTGATCTGGGTGAATCCTGATTCCTACAAAGAGGTCGTACTTTCACTCAGACAGTTGTTTCCAGGAAGTGTAGTAAACAGATCAAGGTCAGATGTAAGGATGATCGACAGGCACGTGGGCACCGCCATTACTGTTACTGCGCATGACAATGAGGCGAGAAAGGAACATCACAGTTTAGTGTAGGGAGCATATTTTTTAAGAGAAAGTTCAGCTGGACACGGACTGCCTTATAGCTACTTGTAGTTTTAGGCAAGCTGGCAACTGGGGCAAACTGTAGTCTTCAGTAATTTGCCCTATCTCACGGTTCTTCTCTGGGAACCTTGTCCCTTAGACAGCGTACATATCCCGAGTCTCTCATTGCAACATCTTTTTTTCAGGCCTAGTTTTTCTTCTTAGAGACCTGTTTCAGTTATTTCTTACTCTGTGTTTCTATACTTCTCAAGGGCTTTGCCTCTGGTTATTAATCCACTTGGTAAGGAAATCTGTTTCACATGTGCCAGTAGGGCCACATAAACTTGATAGAACTTTCATGAATGTGGTATCTTAGCTGCTTGTGAATAATTCATTTAAAGTTTAGCAAGATAGGTAAGATTTGGAACTTAAATTTTGAAATTCCAAATTTCTTTATGTAGGATAGTTTCTCTTGTATGGCTTGTGGTTCTAATCCAACTGACCTGTACTTCTCTGGCTGATGTTGAATCCATTAGAGATATTATCGTGTATGTGTGTGTGTGTGTGTGTGTGTGTGTGTGTGAGCATAACACTCTAATGGCAGTACACAACAGGAGGAAATAGTACCTTGGGGGAGACATATTAGGGATAAATTAAGTGATCTTAAGTGAGCTTAGAGAAAAGATGTCAAATTTTTTTTAAATTTATTTTTTTGAGGCAGAATTAAAGTCATTTTTTCACATCACCATAATTACTATAGATTTAAGAAAGTCAAAACTGTTCATTAAACAGGAAAAAAAAGTAGATTTTGAATAATGTGTAGTGCATACAGACATCCCATTGCTGGATTAAGAAGAGTGACATAATTTAGATCCTGTTTCTAAGAACGTACAGATCTCATACAATGAGAATTCTCAAAGTATTTCTCCTAGGAAGGGTATCAAATCATTCTTACAAGGGTCATCCTTGGAATGAGAATATATAATTACACAGATTTCCACACTACGTGAACCAATGAACAAAAACAAATCTTCTCTAATGGTCAAGGCAGGAGTTTGTATAATCTTGTTCATGAATAGTGTATAGATCTTTGGGATTAGCCCCGAGCATTTGAAAACAGTTTTTCCTGAAATGCAGTGTGGTTCTTGAGGTGTCCAGAGAAAAGACAAATCTTTACTTCTAGAGGAAATAATACAGATATAATAATTTTTTCAGGAAGGAAATAACATCACAAAACAGATATTCATGTGTTCCCAGTCAACAACACAAGTTTCTGTCCCTCAGTGTTTACAAAACAAAAGTTACATGGGTCATTAAAATCCAAGATGTAAATCACTCATTAGGGAGAGAGACATTCTACGTACACATGACTGTAGGCCTTTAAAGTTCCTTTTCTATATTAGCAAAGGGAATTTTCTCTGGGGTCTGATAACTGACATTTCTATCTCTTCCTCATTCCTCATCTTCTTGAGAGTCACCAATTTATATTATTATATTACAAAATTTAGCACAATCACATGAAAGATTCATGTTTAACTTCAGCAAAATAATTGCTGAAAACATTTCTTTATTATCAAATTCATATTGTTTTGTAAGCTTTTTCCAGCATCATGTGATGAACCAATCTTAGAATCTGATACCAAGAAAACTTTCCCTTAAGAAGCGTCAACCTTAAAAACTGTAAATCTACTTCTTTGAATGTCTTTGTTACGCAGAGGTTAAGTAAGACTGAGCTTTAGCTGCGAGATCACCCCCTGGTTCACTTCACATATTTTCTCACTAAATTTTATTCCATGTGAATTTTTCCCATTGTAATTCATGAAAGTGGATAGTTAATGTGAATTGTAAGGATTCTTGCAGGTTAAACGTTTGTGTTGTTTGTAAGCAACTACCTTTGATCTTCTTTCAGTGTTCCAAGTTGGGTAAGTTATTTTTGTGGGGATTTTCCATTAGGAGTACCATTTTTAAAAAGTCATAAACAAAATCAAATTACACAAATAGTTCTTCCTCAGCCCTAGCAATGAGAACTGTTCTATTCATCTGGGATCTGAGACACTAAGGGGCGATGCTGCCAGGGCCCCAGTCTAATGAAAATCGGGTTGAGATCTTCCCAGCCTCCCAGCCCATAGAACATGCTGTTTCTTCCCTTTATGTGTTTTCAAAAGTTTTATTTTTACAAGTATCTGTTAACAGTGGAATTCTGAGTGTGTTTTTGGCACACATGTTCCGTTCACATAGAAATGTCGAATTCAGTAGGATGGAATGAGGAAAACTATAAAAAGATCCTAATTTTGTTTGTTGGTCTACTGGGTAACTTCTGGGGTTTATGATTTAAAAAAATAATATTATAAAAAGTTATACATCTATTTGAAATATGTACCATATATTTAATATGGAAAAGTTTTGAATACAATCATTGTTGTTTATTCCTATAGTTTACCTCAATGTATAAACATTGCTATCAAAGCCCACTTATATGTAGGACCCCATCTTTCACATTCTTATATTATATTATAAGGGAGGAGCACATGAATACATTAGTTTTTTTCTCTTGTCAAGGTATCCAGATGAACCTCAGTTATTCTGATATTTCAGATAGGTGCATTTCCTGCAGAGCTTTTGGTACAACTAAAAAATAACTTGAATAAATAGTGTAAATCATAAAAAACTCACTTGAAAATTTAAGGGAATTATGATGCATTATTGGATGTTTTTGTTTCATAAATACTTAAGTATTTGGTATCATATAACTGGAATCTCTTTTGAGCATCTTCCTTCCTTACCACAGAAATATATAATTTTGAGAAAATACATGGTACAATCTCAGCAGGGTATAGGAAGTCACACAGAAAAAATTAAGTATTAATGTCAACCAATGAAATGGTATAATGTATTAAATATTCTTTTTATTCAAAATATTTTATAGGATGTGGCTCTATGTGAATCACATATAAATTATAACATAAAACAGTATCATTCTGTATTTGTAAATATATTTTTAAAATTTTTGCCTACAAGATGTGTTTATATATTTGTTTAGTAATAAAAGAAAGATTCAGGCATACTGATAACATGAGACTCTGTCTCAAAAACAGAGCAGAAACAATAGA